TCCTCCTCCTCCTCCTCCTCCTCCTCCTCCTCCTCCTCCTCCAACTGGCCGACTGCCAGGCCGGGCCCCTGCGCTCCGTGCCTCTGCCTGCTGCTCCTGCAGTTGCCGGCCGTGGCCCGCCCTATGTTCGGGCAGAGGAGGAGGAGGAGGAGGAGGAGGAGGAGGAGGAGGAGCAGGAGGCGGAGGAGGCGGCGGAGGAGGAGGAGCGAACGGACAGGGCCGAGCGAGAGGCAGAGCGAGGCCTCCTGGAGGAGGAGCAGGAGGAGGAGGAGGAGGAGGAGGAGGAGGAGGAGGAGCGAGGAGCGAGGAGCGAGGAGCGAGGAGCGAGGAGCGAGGAGCGAGGAGCGAGGGGCGAGAAGGAGGAGGAGGAGGAGGAGGAGGGGGAGGAGGAGAAGGAGGAGGAGCGAGGAGGAGGAGGAGGAGGAGGAGGAGGAGGAAGAAGATGATGATGATGATGAGGAGGAGGAGGAGGAGGAGAAGGAGGACGGCAACCCAAGGCACATCTGCACGGACATCCCAAAGCACGCTGCAGGCGCATGCATACGCGCATATAGAATGTGAAAAACTTGCAACTTGAGAAACTTATGCACTCGCGCGTGCGTGCTCGTGCACGCGAGTCCGCCGACCCTTCGGCGTGTGAGACGCGGTCGTCGTCGTCGTCGTCGTCGTCGTCGTCGTCGTCGTCGTCGTCGTCGTCGTCGTCGTCGTCGTCGTCGTCGTCGTCGTCGTCGCCAGCCAGTCCTAAGAAAATTGAGGAACGAACACAGACCAGAAGCGTAGTAGTGAACTCGGTTCCCTTCTCTTTTTTCCCTCCCTGACTGGCGGGGGTAAGGGGGGGGGGGTTGGGGATCCTGGGTCCGATTACCGCCCCCCGAGGGTCCCACGGGGTGGTCCCACCTGTGGAGCAGGGTGACGCGGGGTTCCCTTGTGGGAGGGGACTGGCCCTGGTCCCAGCCCTGGCCCTGGCCCCGGCCCCGGCCCCGGCCCCGACCCCGGCCTCTGCCCCAGCCCTGGCCCCGGCCCTGGCCCTGGCCCCGGGGTCCCGGGAAGGGGCCCTAAGGTCGGCGACACCGGCTTCACAATATACACACTCGCGCGCGCGTGCTCGTGCACGCGATCTCGCGCGCAAAGGCCGCGCGCGCACGCGTGCACGCACGCGCGCATCCGCACTCCACAGCCAGCGACATCCGCGCTGCACGGCGCCCTGCACGGGCCTCTGGTGCACAGGCCCCCCCCCCTCCAGCGTCTGACGGCGACGGCTCTGACTGCACGCGCAACAAACGTACCCATATCCGCGCACTCGAACTCGGGATTCCGGGGCGCGATCCCGCGAATATTTGGTCGCACGGATGCGCTCTGCGCGGGGCATGCGCGAAAAAACGTTCCGCATCCGCGGGGTCGCGGCCCGTGGGCCTGGCCCGCAAGCCGCGGGTTGGGACATGTTCCTCGCCCGCGATGACTCGCACGCCCAACCTTGTTTTACGGAAGGCATGGACACGACATACTCAACACTAACACGTGTTGCCCGAAACTGACAACGGCCGCTGTTGGGCAGGTGACTCTCTGTCTCAAACGGAGAACGCCCGCGGCGGCACGACAACGAGTCCTGCTCGAGATGGGCAAAACCTGCTGTTGGCCATCGTCACGATTTTTTCCGTGCCCACGTCGGGTGGCGACTGGTCTGAGGCCGGCACGCCGGTGGCGCAGGCTGCACCGGGTCTGCGACGGGGACGAAGCGGGGCCCGTTCCGAGCATCTGCGGCCGCTTTATTTCTGCCCCGCCGAAAAGCGAACACGCGGCTCCAGCGCCGGGAGCGCACCCTCACAGTTCCACAACACGTCGCCCAAACGTGGCTGGTGCAGATGGGGTCGGGGACCGCGCCGCATCGGCGATGCATCGGCTGTGCGTCGGCCGCGTCTGGATCGGGCGATGCCCACTAGGGGGCAATACAAAGGGGAGCGAAGAAAGATGCTCGAGAGGCTCAGTTTTTTTCACCCCGTCCCCCACGTTTGTCGAAGCCGCATGACGCACAGCCTGGCTTGACGTAGAAGATCAGGTTGCGGAAGATTGCAGCACCGCCACTGCATCGGCTGTGCGGTGCGTTCGCTGGTGCATCGTTGGCGCATCCACAGCGCAAAGGGGGCTTCTGATAATGAAACATCGTCAGTTTCTTGGAAGGGCCCGGAAGTTTCTGGGAAGGTTCCCCTGTCAGCTGATTGCCCAGCACACGCTGACCTGAATCAAAGTAACACACCAAGCAAACACCACCCCCTACTCGGCGACGGGGCGCGACGAGTCAGTATGGAAGCGGGACGCGATACTAAACCACGCGGCTCGATCCATGTCTGCACCCCCGTCGATCTTAAACGCTCCCACCCGGGTCGATGGGCCCCCTCGGGAAGGGCGACAGTCCCTGATCAGGTTCCGACGGTGCCCCCTCCGTGTAATGCGTGAGTTTCCTCCCCTCGCCCCACCCCCACTGCCTTCCCAAGGTCGCCCATTTTGGCGCATCGCGCCCCGCGATACACGACGCGCGACCACCCCCGCGCCCTCGCGAGGCCACCTTGGGAAGGACAGCTGCTGAGCCGAAGCCGCGAAGCGCGAGGCGCGTTTACCTTCGCGCCTCCGGGGTAATTAACCTGGCGTTCCTTGCCTCGCGCAGAAGCGCTGCTCGGCCACGGCCCCGGTCACGGGGAAGGGGCCAAGAGTCGTGGGACCT